AGAAAACAAAACCAGAGATGCTGGACAAATTAATGTCGCCATCGACTGTAACAGGTCGTCCTCAGTATACCTGAATGAACTTATGTCATTATGCCCGAATTGGCGTGGGGACGATAATAAACGTCACAAATTTATTCAAGCCCTACCTCACTCCATTAAACCAGTGGTAGCTGCACAAGTCGATTTAGACACAGATCGTCTTGGAAAAATGGCGGACGACTTATTATTATATTTTAACAAACAAGACACCACACATATTCGACAGATTCGGGGAAGCAAAAAGGATGAACAGCAAAATAAAAATGAAACTAAAAAGGATACATGGCTGTTCCCACAGTGAAAATAAATTCCCTACCAGTGTTCGCCCTTTTAACAAGGACCAAAAACCTCAAATTTGCCGAGCGTGATTTATACTTTGGCGGAACGTGCAAAATTTTGTAAAGTCGTGGTGCAGATGGCCAAATAAACGGAATGTTCAATGCAACCCAACTCTCGCCTTAAATTCACCAGTTCCTCGTGAGACTTGGGAAAACTAACTAGGCAAGAGGTGTTAGCTTCCATTTCTCGCCGCTTCTCATTGTAGCCGCACGGTTAGGAGCTCAAAGTTTAAATTTTATTATGGATACAGGAGCTGCCGTATCTATACTTCCAAAGAGATATTTAAGCGGAGCTGTAACATACCCAACCAATATCTCTTTAGTGTCTGCCAACGGTCAAAAGATTGAATGCTCAGGACAAACAGTACTGAATCTAACACTCACGGAACCTCAGACGAGAATTTACCTGGACATTTATAATAGCCAAACTGCTCAGCCACTCCTAGGATACGATTTCCTAAACCATTTCGGGCTAATGGTGGACTGCACAAACAATACGCTAATTGATAAAATGACTAATAGACAATCCGATGCACATCCATCGTCTATTATCATGAATATAGATTTAGTACCGCATAAAGATGCTAACAAAATGGTACGAGCAATTCTGGAGAAATCCTCAAACTTAATTTCTCCTCATCGCGACGACACTAATGCAACAAAACCAAAGATATTCCACAGAATAGAAACTGGTAGCAACCCTCCTACTTTCTCCAGAGCCAGACAATTATCAGCTCAGAGATGTGAAATTGCAAAAGAGGAATTCAAGAAACTCTAAAAGGCAGGAATAATTTCCCTTCAAACTCTGAATGGAGTTCAGCCACACATGGTAATCAAGTCAGACGGCACATATAGACCTGTTGGCGATTACAGACATTTAAATACCATAACAAAAAGCCGATCGATATCAAGTCCCAAATATAAATTCCTTGTCTTGAAGCTTCATAATAAGAAGTTCTTTTCAAAGATAGACCTGTCGTCTGCTTATCATCAGATACCAGTACACCGGAGGATGTTTGCAAGACAGCCATCTCTACCCCTTTTGGGTTATTTGAATATAACTATATGCCTTTGGGACTCACGGAACGCATCATGTACTTTTCAGAGAATGATGGACAATATCTTTTCGTGGATACTGATTATACCTTTGTATATATCGACGATATCCTTATATTCTCAGAAGATGAAGAAACTCATTCCAAGCATATCGACCTAGTACTACAAAAACTGAGTGAGTATGATTTTAAAATTTGTCTTCTCCAAATGCATATTTAGTGCTAATGAATTAGACTTTTTAGGATTTCACATTTCTGCTAGTGGTCTCAAACCCAGTGCTAAAAAGTTGAATGAATTAAGTGAATTTCCTCAACCAAATGATTCTAAATCACTTCGCCGATTCCTCGGAATGGCAAATTTTACAGAAAACTTGTGCCAAATTTCAGCGATATCATACTACCTCTCACGGAAAAATATGTTTAAACCAAAATTCCAAGTCATTAACCCTAACAAAGGAAGAAATTGAATCTTTCGAAAATATGAAAAGTCTTTATCAAATGTAACTGTTTTGGCTTTCCCCAGCTCGAAAGCTAACAACTATCAACTTGTAACAGACAGTTCGAATTTATGCGGTGGGTGCAGCACTTCATCAAATGATTGATAATCAACCCATCCCCATAGGTTTCTTTTCAAAGAAATTATCCCAAACCCAACAAAAATATTCTACTTTTGACAGAGAACTACTAGCTGCCTATCTAGCAGTACTCCATTTTAAACATTTAATAGAAGGCAGAAATGTAATGTTACTGACGGATCACAAACCACTTTGCAGTGCTTTTAAAAGCCAGTCTTCCTTAAAATCAGATAAACAACAGCGTCACCTCTGTTTTATCAGCGAATATGTGAATGACATTTCACATATAAGAGGTTCACAAAATATAGTAGCTGATTGTTTATCACGACCTGTCAACATTTGATCACTATTGATGTATGTGACTTACAAGAAATAATGAAGCATCAAGCTACTGACAATGAAATTCAGGCATTCAAAGATCAACTGAAACCATACACAATAAATCAAAATGAAACCATATTATGTGACACGACATTACCTTTTCCACGACCTTTTGTGACTGAGAAGCTCAGAAAATCGGTATTTGACAGTCTGCATAATCTATCACATCCAGGAATAACATCTTCAAGAAAATAATAAAATCCAGATACTATTGGCAAGATGGACAAGTCAATAAAAACCTGGTGCACAGAATGCCAGCATTGCCAACAAGCGAAAATAATAAAACACACAAAGAGCAAAGTAAATCCATTTGAATTACCTTCCAGTCGTTTTGAAACGGTGCATGTGGATATTGTCGGTCCCTTACCACCAGTAAAGAACCAAACTGACCCTTATTTTTCACCATATCGATATTTATTAATATGCGTTGATAGAAATACGAGATGGATAGAAGCATGCCCAATAACAGAAATTACGGCAAAATCAATATCAACGGCTTTTGTCAATCTGTGGATCTCCCAATTCGGGGTTCCTCTTCATGTCGATTCGGACAGAGGAAGCCAATTTGAATCCGAATTATTCTCAGAACTATCAAAAAAATAATAGGCTTCCACAGATTACGAACAACGCGTACCATCCGCAAAACGAATGGATTAGTTGAGCGAGCACACAGAACTTTAAAAATGGCTATTATAGCCAGGAAAGAATCGTGGTTATCAGCTCTTCCTATCGTCCTTTTGGGAATGAGGATAACACCTAATGAATCAAACTATTCTTCATTTACTGCAGTAACAGGAGTCATGCACAAGTCCCCGATTATTAATTGACTCTATCAAGAACGAGAATAGTAAAATGACAAACTCAAGACGTTAAAATTCTAGCCGACGAGATGCAAAAATTTGACATGGACAAATTATCCAGGGACACCTGCATACAATACCTAATTCTTACATTCCAAAAGATTTACAAACATGTAAAAGTATCTGGCTAAGAACAGACAGAGTAAGAAAGCCATTGGAAGCTCCATACACAGGTCCATTCCAAGTATTAAGTCGTCATGAAAAATATTTTACTATTTCAATTTACTATTTTTTTCAAGACCGGATTTGGATAACTCCCTATCTTGTTCCGAAGAAACTAATGATTTTATTAAAGCTTCATTAGAGAATAAAATATGTAGGAGAAAAAGAAAGAAAGAAAAAGAAATTCTGTTATTTTAATTTTTGCATTTGTTTTTATTGGTTAAGTAGACTTCATGTGCAACTGTCTCGTCAAGCAACGTTTGTGTGTATAATTCATGTGTGTATCATAATTCTAGTTTGCCTATGCGGGATTCAGATGATAATGTATAGTCATTTGTGTATGTGTGTATTAGCATTTTTATTTATGCTTGGTGGTTGTATGCATGTTGATCTGGTGACCTTTTTGTGTGAGGGTCACCAGTTGTAGTTTAGATTCTTTAAGTATGGATTTTATAAAAGTTGGTGATGTAATAAAGTGTATTTGACATGTGTTTATAGATGGTAAAATATTTATTAGTACTTCAGTGAAATATTTCCTGTATATATTATGTGGTATTTATAATATCAAAGTTATGGCCAATTTTGTTCCTGTGTATTATGATGAAGTTTAAAGGGTTGTTCATAGATGCAGTCTTTTAGATTCCTAGATGTTTTGCCAATGTAACTATTTCATAAATCTATTTTCCTTCCTAACTATAACTCCAATCATTTTGGATGTGATGGTAAAGATCTTAGAATTTCAAATATTTTATCATTGTATTAGTACCAACTAAACTCTTTAAAAGTGTATAGTTTGTATAGCAAATAATATTACACTATTTTTAGTATATAAATTACATGCAAATTTGAATCTTGTTAGTTTTGTTTGTAATCAAACAAAAATAAAATATTTCTAACCAATTGGAATAGAAAAATATTTCTAACCAATCAACAAACAATTCTTTCTAAACTCTTTTTTGGAGTTTTTTCAAACTTATAGATCAGAATTCTTCTTTCTTTTTTAGTAACTGGTTGTTTTTTTTTGTTTGTTTTTAACTTTTGATATTTCTAAACTAAAAATTCAAATCACAACTATTAATCAACTTTCTTGAATCTATCTTCCTGTTGCTGATCTAATGATAATTTGGTAATTTTTATAATTAAGTTCACAATAATAACAATGAATTTCATTTAATAAACAACATAAATTTTTAGTTGTGTCTCCTGCCATACAACAGGAGTTTTAACTTTTAGACATTTATGTTGTTTATTAAATGAAATTCATTGCTATTATTGTAAACTCAGTTTTATCTTTTTCAATTTTCACATTGTATATTTCTGTCTGAAATTGTTCTTCAAACAATTTCTAATTTCCACTGGTTACCAGAAACCTTATTTATAAACATTTCTTAAAACAGTACTGCTTCCAAACCCTTTCTTAAAACAATATTGACCTCAAAACAGTCAATAGTAAGCTTGTTTGTATTAAGTTTTAACAAATACTGCTGATATTTGGCCCTAGTAATAAATTCTATTGTGAAAGTATCAAAGTAAAATATTTTAAAAATAATGATGAGCAATGTTCAAATGTAATCAGTAAAACTGACTTGCCTTTTATGAACATTCTCATCTGAATTCACTAATGCTGGGAAGCCTTGTTGCACAGACAGAACAACCTTGAGTTGAGAATTCACATATTTCAAGTCATTCATATTACCATAAAGTTTCACATCAGCTGGAGTATTTTCAGTTAACTTGTTGTCTTCAATTTTGGCAAAAGCAAAGACAAGGTGTGTACACAAATTAGGGTCGATATCAGTGACATTAAGAAGGTGAGCCCTAGGAAGATAATAGCAAACCAGTTTTTTGGGCATCAGTTCCATTGAATCTGTTTCTTTCTCTGGAAAAAAATGGAAAAATCTATGTTAACATACTTGAAAATTAGGAGATGCTAATAAAAACTACCAACCAAAAGTTATCTTGTGGTTGGCAATCAATGTATTAAATGATATTTATAATGCAAATCATAAAAGTCAACCAATATTTATTTCTGAAGATCTATTTTGATTAATTCCTCTTCTTTTTTAGCAAATAAGATTTTTTTAATCATTTTACTTCAAGCAAAGCAATAAAGCCAATAAGATTCAAGGGTTTACTGAATGTGAGAGAATATGAGGAAAAGAAAAACATTATTAAGGAGAGAGAACAATAAAAGAACAGGAATTAAGAAGACAGAAGATGATGATTGACATTGCATTTACATTTTTACAGTATATTTTTGAAGATCAAAATTGATTGGAAAGCAAGAAGCCAAAAGTGAGTACTATAAGTGAGAAGTGTGAGAGAAGAAACCATTAGCATAGAACTTATGATTACATCTAGCAGCCATTTCAACTGTAAAAATATGAAACCTAATTGTTAATCTTGTACATCTTCATAAAGTCAAGGTACCAAAGAAGAAAGCGATATTTATTCTGTTTATAATACAGAAATGTGGCACAAGGCCGAAAAGGGGATTGGGGAAAGGACAGTCTTCTTCTGTCTTAAATATAACTTAGCTAGCATAAGCACTGACCCAAACGCATTTAAACAATATTCCTTACACCAAAACAACACATTCATTCGTACCTTTCTTACTACAACCACCATAATACCTCTTTGTCTCTATGAAAATACTAACTAGTCCCCATATTTACAATTCGTGGTCTGTGGGGGGAACAACAACTCTAAAAATTAACCCCAATGAGTATTTACAATATGCATTTAAAAACTATTTACAAGAAACTAAAGAAAATAAGATTAGTAATAAAAACCCCCACAATTTCCTAAATGTGACAGAAACATCACTTCACTGGCCAAAATCAATGCGGGACTATAATAGTATAAACCATTCATTCATCCCAATCACTCACACTGACATGCACTCATTCAGACACAACAACAAAAAAAAAAAAAAAAAAAAAAAAATCACTCACACGAAAAAACGAAAGGCGCCCGCATCCACCAGCGAACTGACATCACTGACCACCTAACGCTGGGGAGGGGATGGGGAATTAAACTTAAAGAAAAAACAAATGGGGACAGAAATAGGGGGGGGCCAATGAGCATACATACCCTAGCTAAGTTAACTGAAAAGGAAACTAAATCATCAAAATGGAAAACCTAAGCTAGCCTAATTTCAGGATGGGTTGCACAAGTTCAACCCAGGAAGAGCAATATCCTGATGCCTAACCGCATCAATGTGCCACTCCAAGTCAGCTCCTTTCACACGCACACAAGCACGCAAGATTCACCCACCTTTTGCTGAATTCTGATGAAGTGAGCATTTTCCGTCCTAATCTCGACTTTAAGCTGATGCTTAAAGTACAAGATCAGTTGGGAAGAGGTGAACTTCTCGCCTCCATAGAATCCTTCTGACGTGTCGTCCAAACCACGACTCTCATAACACCCAGCAAGCAGTGGAACACATACTGTTCAGCCTTCGCCAGCGTCGGTGCCACATTGCTACAAACGGAAACGGACTGAAGGACAAAGGACTTTCCCTGCAGCATGCGGACCATGAGGCCTTCAACAAACTTGACCAACGGCACTACCTGGCTGCAATGAAAGAAGGCGTGACCCATGGTCTCGACCTCCCCACTCACAACGTCGGCAGTTTGGAGAATTCTCCAAGCCAGCTGAGCAGAGTCTCTTGGCAACCCAGAGGGCCCTACGTATCACCAGCCAGGTGAGTGATGCCTCATCGTTATTGAGGCATTTCAACCCGGCGCCCAAGGCCATATTGAGCGAGCCTGCTGCCTCGTCAAACCGAGCTCATCAATCAGATCATCATGCACGCCCCCCCTGACTAAAACTTGATATAATGCCCTACGAGACAGCGCCTGGACGTAAGAGGGCTTCAGAGCAATACGACATTCACGATAGAAGGAGCATTCGCCGGGGTAAACGGCGGGCCTCCTCCGCACGAATGCACACTTCTCAGGGATGGGAAGTTCTTACGGGCGTCTTCCTTCCAGAAGGCGCTGTCCTCATCCGAATCGCGACACATTGATCCAGAAAGCTAATGCGAAGCATGTATTGACGAATCTCAATGCTTGGCATGCCCAGACCGCCTTCAGATGGATGAAGGCAACAGATCTCCCGACTGACTCTGGCAGCCTTGCCTCCCCACAAGAAGGAGAACAAGAGCTTCACTAACGCCAGTAAAGTGTCACACGGAAGTGGAAGCACAGAGAGTCGGTAAAGGAGAATCGGCAGATGTGTGAAACACAAACTTCCGCCTCCCCTTTAAGGAAAGATTCCTCCGAGACCACAATTTAATTGCGATCTCGGCCTTCCTCGCACCTCCGACCAATTCATTTCAACTGGAGATCAGGACCGAAAAAGACGCCGAGAATCTTGACCGCCCATCCGTCCAGTGGAAAGGTCCGGAAGAGAAACTCCCTTCCACGCACCCAACCGCAAGCCAACAGACTTATCGCGGTTGATCTTGGCCCCTGTCACCATCTCATAACAACTGATTTCTTTGCTGACTTTCGTTAATCTCGGCTCTGCTCGACACAAGAGCCAAACGTCGTCAGCATAAGCAGAATACCTGGCCAATGTGCTACCACCGGCAGGGCAATTCCACGAGGGACCGGATTCGCTTTTAACTTGCATGGCGAAAGGTTCCAACGCAAGAACGTAAAGCAAGGGCGATAGCGGACAACCCTGACGAATGGAGCGAGACAATGCGAAAGGCTCCGATCGTACCCATTCACCTCCACCAGCGCACCGGAGTCGCATACAGAAGTCGGATCCAGGTGCTGAAAATACGGCCCAAACCGCCGCCGAAAAGAACAGCCTCCAGAAAACGATGGTCAACCCTATCGAAGGCCTTGGACTGATCTAAATTGATCAGCGGCTTCACTGTCGACTGCTTTCGATGATCAGGCACACCATATGAAGGTTGTCCTGAATAGTCCTGCCCTTCACAGCACAAGTCTGTTCGAGCCAATCAGACTAGACAGGACAGCCTGCAAACGGTTAACCATGATCTTAGCCAAAATCTTTAACTCTGTGTTTAACATAGTTAAAGGGCGAAAGTTACCTAACCCATCCCCACCGTTTTTATTCTTGCGTAACAACTTGATCACGCCCCTGGTGAAGCGTTGGGGTATAGACCCCTGCTTCAACCCAGTTGCCGAAAATCAGTGCCAGCAGCGGAACAAAAACGGGCGACTGCCTCAAAGTACACTTCAGACGGAAGACCATCAAGTCCCGGAGATTTGTCCAGGCCAACCTGTTTCAACGCATCCCAGATTTCCGACTCTGTAATTGGACCCTCGCACCTAGCTGCTTCAGCTGCCACGAGGCAGGGAAAGTCAGCTAAATAGGTGTCGAACTGAGCAGAGCTCAGACCGGGCTCCCCTGGTGAAAAGCTCCTGAAAGTAGTCACGAAAAGCCTCACATATGCCCTCGTTTGTTGTCACGGTCCGCTTATCCGCAATGTGACGCCGCGATATGTCGTTGAGATGCATACCAGCTTCCTCTGCACGCAATTCAGCGGCCATATTCGTCGCCTCAGAGGACATTTTTTTAACTAGCCCTAACTACCAGAGCTTGATCCTTCTTGATAAGCAAGGAGGCCAACTCTGCCTTAGCTAAGGCTATTTCCCCACTATCACGGGATTTCACCGCCCGATCAACTTTTCTGCTCTAAAGCCGTTTTTGCGCCGCTAATCTATCTAGATTGAGCCGACGACTATAATCAGCAGCAAACGTTCTGATTTTGGATTTTAGTTTATCCCACCAGGCATTTCCCACAACCGCTCCCGTCAGTTCCTCTGTATCATTAGTAAAAGCTGGTCCCGAAATCTTGCTCACCAAATAATGATGAGTTTAATTTCCAGTAGCCAGCCATTCTAACCTTAGGCTTATCTAAGTTTACACGGACCCGGACAAGCCTATGATCCGTATAAACTATCTCATGGAAACTTGGACACCCTAAGAGCCCTACATCGACTCTCCTAACTAAGACTCGGTCTAGATAACTAGCCGAGCCGCCACTATTTGTCCAAGTCCACACTACCTCCCGAGGGTGTTCATTTCGATACTTATCGACAACCTGTCGATAAAGTCCGAAAATGGTTTCACGTCGGTTGTTAGTACCAATTTGACCCTATGCGATCTATATCGGGATCAAGGACGGCATTCCAATCACCCACTAAAACTACCCGGCGTGATGTCGTCAAAACTACTTTCGATCCGCCCGAAACAAGGCAGGCCGCTCAGAATGGACATTGGGCACATAAACCCCAATGAGACGCAGAGCCTTATCCTTTATGGTAACGTCCAGCACGCAAAGCCTGCCCGCCGGATCCGCGAAGACAAGAACACACGCAGCCTTCAATGACTTGCTCACCAACCAAGAGACACCCTCGAGCGTCCATCAAAACATGCTGAATAGAGGAAAACCCCTAGACAGAATGTTCTCATAGTCACGAGAAGAAAAACGGGTCTCTTGTACACAACAGATATTCACCCGAGACGCTGAAGATCACGAGAGCTACGCCCTGCAGACTTCGGACCTCAGGCCTCGGGCATTCACACTTGCTAACCAGAGAGCCATGATGGAACCGATTAGGGTTGCTCTCCTGCATTGAACATGGCCGGGTCAGGACACTGACGGCCTCTCCCATTGAGCCTGTACCCATCTCACTAACGATGGTGC